CCCCAAAACCCCAAAACCCCAAAACCCCAAAACCCCAAAACCCCTGCTAGAAATTAGTCATTTGATTTGATTGTTTTGTTAGCCATATTATTAGAATATGCTTATAAATTTAGTATTGCATTTTATTTTTGGAAGGATCAATCAGATTAATCTCTTTTGAAGTCATCATTTAGTCTTCTTCATATCGTCTTTCTTTTTATCAGCGAGTGAAGCTCCACTTGTATTGCTCTATTCCTTGAAAACTGCTTGAATCTTTTCAGTTAAATCAGTAAATAGCTCTTTAAGTTCCTTGATTTTCACAGAATTTTCGTTATTAGTGTTTTTGACTTTTTAGACTGTGTGATGCAGTTTCAGCAGACAATGCAAATCCTCATCCTTCTCAATTTAAGCCATCATCTCATCAGTTAGTCCTATATAAAGAGTAAGCAGAGTATAATATCTCACCCATTGCTTTAGAAGTAGAGGCAGTCTTGGAACGATTTTGATATAGTTTAGAGTCAGTGTTTGCAAATTTATGAGTTTTGAGAGTACCTGTTCTCTTTTGAGTTGAGTTCATTTATACACAAATATAATTAATTATAAGATTATAAGAATTTACTTAATTCTAGTAATGGAATAGTTTTTATCGCCACATTAAGTATATTTCCCTGGTATTTTCAATCATTGTAGGAGTTCTTTGACATTCTGAATAGGTTGTCAGAGAATAGAAGAAAATCACTTCTTGAAGTAGCCAATATCCTAGGCAAAAAGGTCTAGGCAGAACTAGTTTACGCGAAGGCACTTGAGGATCTAACTGAAGTGCCTGTATAATCTATCGAGACAACGTATTTTCATAAACTTATTGAAAATAGAGTAGATAATTTGAGGAATTTGTGACGATATTTAAGAATAACAGCCATCACAAAGCAACGTAATCATGGGAACTAGCAGACTCACTTCAAAGAGATGTGATTGACTAATTAAAAAGACTTAAAACAGCCTAAGAATAAGAAGCTATTGAAATTTAACTATAAGGAGAATAATTAGTCCAGTCACTCAAAGTTAAGCAGGAGGAAGTCAAATAATACGCTATGCAATATTGGAAAGTAGCCAAATTAGCTAATTAACTCTATGATGATTGGGATAAGATAAAGGGAAATGAAAAACATTCATAGAATTACAAAGATTAAATATTGAAAGAGTAAGTATCAATAACGTTTTTTAATTACTTTCATTAGTGCTCATTAAAATCGTAAGGAATCCGAGGAGAAACTCTTGGTTTACAAATCCATCGTGAAAAGAGCAAATGAATTCAAAAGATATTACTGTGAACAGATGTCTTAGTTATTAAAACGGCTTGAAGAGCATGAAGTAGAGAGAATACAAAGTCTTAAAGCTGCTGCTGATAAGATTATTGTATATGAGACGTCATATGAGATGAATAATAAATATGATGCCAAAGCTTTTGTAAAGGTATCTGAATCTATAAACGAAGACAGATAGATTAAGTTCTTCAAGTCAAAGGTCAATTTAATGAAGGTAAAAAATTCTATCTTTAACTAATTAGATAGAGGAAATGCCTGATTTTTAGTTTGTAAAAGTTTAGACTTATGATTAGAAGGATTTGTAAATACCTGTGAGCCCAACTCCTTCTAATCAGCATTCTAAGCATTAGATTTTCGGTATTCCTTAGAAGCAACTATCTCATAAAACTGATGATTCATTGGATGAGGATATGCAGATAGAGATGTTAGGTGGTAGACTATCCAATTAATCTTTAACTACAAAATTAACAGATCCAGTCTCAAGAAAACTTTCAGATGACATGGAAGGATTCTTGAGAGAGGCAATCTTTAATTGTTAAGCAACCAACGAGGATGTACTTAAGCAGTTTAAGTCTATGATAGAGACGAATTCGGGGAGAATTATTTATATGAAAAAACTTAATATCTTTAGAACTAATTAGCAGTGCGCTTTATAGAGCAGGGAAAATTACAATAATCTATGTAAAATAATGATGATTATGCTCGACGAATGCCATAAACAAATGGATGTTTAATGTGCAATGAAAACGCTAGTATTTTCTAACAATTTCTACATTGAGAACAAAGAAGCAGGCTAGAGGCCAAGAGATTACCTATAGAATGGGATTTCTTAGCATGAAATCTGGAAAGATTTTAAATTCTGGGAAAGAGCTATATATGAATAAATCTAGTGTGAGCTTAGTGAACAAAAGAACTATGTAGAGTTAGACAAGAATAATGTCACAAAATAAATAGTATTTGCATAACTCTGCTCGCTTCAACATGAGATGCTATGCTTTGATCTAGATAAAGAAAAAATAAAAGATCTAATTCAGATATTCTGTCATAATTACAAACTAATTCAAAAAGATATTACAGATTTAAATGTAAGTTAAAACTGATTATCATTTAATGGTAGACAAGACTAGTGAACTTTGGCATCTTCGAAGGAGATAGCACACCCAAAGAAAATTACTCTAATTACGCCAGCGGATAGATTTAAAGTGAAGCAAAGAGAGGTGTCCCACAGTGGCTCAAAGAGATAGAAAACTATGATGTAAATCCCTTTGATGTTTAATCGAATAATTTATAGAGGCCTAGAGATTAGATGAGCAGTAGCATGAGTTTTAATGATAGCTCCTAATTGGGAATAAGTCTGGGTAATACAACAGCTAATTTGTCAATGACTCAGTAGAAATCATCAGAGTCGTCTAAAATCTCTAAAAATCCAAGTAATGCTCATCTGCTGAATCCCAATATTAAAAGTAGCAGCGGGGTAAACAATACAAAAGAGTTCAGTGAGTAAAGGATTCAACTTCCTCAAAGTAAGATTACCTTGTTAAACAAGCAGCATTTTTAGCGTTAATGAAGAGAGGGGTAAGTATGGGATCAGGCTAGAAAACCTAAAATTTTATATACCAGAAGCCTTGATCATGATTTATTAATAATTCCTAGACTCCAAATATTTCTAGAGCTCTTGGGGTTTTGGGGTTTTGGGG